AGAAATGATAAAGAAATTCCATGGTGTGGCAGGATAGAGAATCAACACACACAAACCAGTAGCTTTTCAATACACCAACAACAAACATGCACAGGAGATCATGAACACACTCCCAATCACAATAGCCTCAAATAAAAAAAAATATCTAGAAAGAAACCTAACCAAGGAAGTGAAAGGCCTCTACAATGAAAACTTCAATAAAGATAGAAGGAAATAGAAAGACATCCCACGCTCATTTGGTAGTACTAACATTGTTAAAATGACCATTATACCAGAAGTTGTTTATAGATTCAATGCAATCCCAATCAAAATCCCCATCTTGCTCTTCACAGCAATAGAAAAAAACTATCCCAAAATTCATATGGAACCACAAAAGACTCCAGAGTGCCAAAACAATCCTGAGCAAAAGAACAATGCTAGAGGGATTACAGTTCCAGATCTTAAGATATATTATGGAGCCACAGTAATAAAAACAGTATGGTGTTAGCAGAAAAAAAGAGAGAGAGAGAGATGTAGACCAATGTGACAGAATTGTAGACGCAAACGTAAGCACACATAACTTTATATTTGTCAAACACACCGAAAGCATGCTGGTAAATCTGGATATCCACATGTAGAAGGAGGGAATGAGACCCTTAGCTATCGCCTTGCACGAAACTAATTCCAAATGGATCAAAGACCTACACATGAAAAACTGAAACTGCCAGAAGAAAACATAGGCAGTACCCTACCTGCTACAGGTCTAGGAAAGAACTTCCTGAATAGTCAGGACTCTGTTCACCCAAGGATAAGGCCAATGATTAACACGTGGGACTTCATGAAACAAGTTTCTGCACAGCTAAAGAAACAATCAACCCAGTGAAGATAAGTCCACAGACTGGGAGACAATATTTACAAGCTATGCACCTGACAGAGAATTAATATCCAAAATATATTAGGAACTCAAAAAATGACCCATTTGAAAAAAAAAAAATGGGCCTGGAGCCTGAACAGCAAATTCATAAGAGAAGAGTCGGGTGGTGGTAGCGCACGCCTTTAATCCCAGCACTAAGGAGGCAGAGCCAGGTGGATCTCCGTGAGTTCGAGGCCAGCCTGGTCTACAGAGCAAGATCCAGGACAGGCACCAAAACTACACAGAGAAACCCTGTCTCAAAAGAAACAAAAAAACAAACAAACAAACAAAATTCATAACAGAAGAAAAAAGGCTAAGAAATATCACACAAACAACAAAAACAAATGTTAATTGTTCCTAGCAATTAGGGAAATGCAAATCAAAACAACTTTGAGATTCTATCTTCCCCAGTCGGGATGGCGAAGATCAATGGAACACTATAACAAACTGGAGAGAATCCAGGTGAGGGACCCCTGCTCACCATTAGTAAGACTGCAGACTGGTGTAGCCACTGTGGAAATCAGTGCAGAAAATCTTTAAAATGCTAGAAATAAATCTACTACACGACCCAGCTATACCACTCCTCGGCATATGCCCACAGGACTTGACATTCTACCCCATGGATACTTGCTCAGGCATTGTGGTGATTTGAATGAAAATGGCCCACATAGGCCCATAGGGTGTGGCACTATTAAGAGGTGTGGTCTTGTTGGAGGCAGTACGTCACTGGGGGGGTGAGATTGAGGTTTCAGAAGCTCAAGCAAGGCCCAGGGGGTCACTGCTCTTCCTGCTATCTGCCAAGTCAGATGTAGAACTCTCAGCTATCTCTCCAGCATCATGTCTGCCTGCATGCCACCATGCTTCCCACCATGACAATAACGCACTAAACCCCTGAACTGTAAGCCAGCCCCCAATGAAATGTTTTCCTTTATAAGAGTTGTCATGGTCATAGTGTCTCTTCACAGCATCGGAAACCCTAACTAAGACAGCTAAATTCATTGTTGCTCTATTCACAATAGCTAGGAAATGGAAACAATCTAAATGTTCTGCAGCAATAAACGAAAAAGGTGGTATGTACACACTATGGAATATTATTCAGCAATGAAGAAAAATGAAATCATGAACTTTGCAGGTAAATGGACGGAACTAGAAATAATCATATTGAGGGAGGTGACCCAGACCCAGCAAGACAAATGCCACATGTTCTCTCCTAGCTCCACATCTTCAGATATAAGTCCATAACCTGCGGTAACCACAGAAACCAGGAAAGTGAAACAGGACCACAGTCGGCTGTCTTAGTCATTGTTCTACGACTGTGAAGAGACACCAGGACCACTACGGCAACACTTGTAAAAGAAGCAGCTGAGAGTTCTACATCCGGATCCACGGGCAGCAGGAAAGAGAAAGCCCTTGTGATAGCTTGGGCTTGTGGAACCTCAAAGCTCAGCCCCACAGTGACACACTCCTCCACAGGGCCACACCACCTAAGCCACTCCCTCATGACTAAGCATTCAAATATATGAACCTATGGGGGCCATTCTTATTCAAACCGTCACATCAATATGGGGGGGAGGGGGAGGGAGCAATGGAGGGGAGTAGAAGGATACAAGCAATCAGAGCAGGGAAATGGGAAAAGAAAGGGCTGCTTAGGGAAGGGGAGGGGGGAGGTAAATACTGAAAAGGGTGGGAGGTGGGTAACATAGCAATAAGGATGTCTGAAAAGGCACAAGGAAGCATGCTATTAACTATTTCCTTTTAAAAAAAGTTATAATGCATGTAATTCAGCATATAAATATACACATCTACTTTTAATGAACTTTTATCATTTGAACTGACACTGCTCCCTCCAAGGACCAAAGACCACCTAACAAAAACCCCAATACCAGAAATGAGGAGCCCTCTTTTGAGTTGATGGCCAGGGCTGAGGGACTCCCAAAGCATACAACCTATTGCTGTTGCCCTTAGTTATCCCCGAGAGGTGGAAGGTAAGTCCTCAATTCTGAAGACACCGTGCTCTTCAGAAACAGGGCCCAGAGGCCCCTGAGCTGGAATTGACCTGATGGCCCCTTCCCTGAGGACTACCTTCCATTGTACTAAAAGGCGGAATTTGACCTTCCAAAGGAGAAAGGCAACCTTCAGTCCTACCCAGCTATGATGCTATGAAGCTCGTCAAAGACCAGCATGGCATTATATACTCTTGAGGGCTCAGTCATCAGGGCGTGGCACAACTTGGAAAGGATTAGGTGGTGTAGCCCTGTTGGAGGAAGTGCGTCACTGTGGGGGTGAGCTTTGAGGTTTCAGAAGCCCAAGCTATCATAGTATCAAGGTAGTGGCAGACATACCTTGGCTGTAACCAACAGCTCTCTGATTGGACTTAAGATCTGCTCAAAAAGAAGGACACTGTGCCTGGTACTGGAAACCTAGCGAACGACTCAATGCTGGTGACGTCATGATTACTGGAGGAGAATGTACAACCACTAGTTTACTAAACCAGCATAATCCCTAACAATAATCTATAAACATTTGTCCTTATACCCTTAGACAGACAAATGCAGTCTTCACCTCTCATCAGGGAAACTTCTCTTTGTAACAGAGACCAGGACAGAAAACCACAACCAATCAAAATGCAGAATTATGGAGCCCCAGTCTCAAAGCATACGTTTGCAAAACACTCCGGTACCTAAGGTTCATGAAACACTGTAGAAGAGGGAAGGAAAGGCTGTAAGAGCTAGAAGTGCGGGGAATTTTCTGTGAGAGTGTGTCTCCTAGTAACATCAGAAGCTATGTTCACAAAGTCTCAACACTATGACTGCCCAAAGGTGAGTGATTCCACACTGCACAGGGAAAAGCCCATGAGGCCTCAACCCTACAGAGAGAACTATAAGCAGCTGAGTGAACTGGGAGCAGGAGAGGTGGCCCTCCCCAGGGAAGAGCACACCCATCAGTTGTCCAGTACCAAAAGGTCAGCCCTGAAAACATCCACACAAGTATCATTATATGGACTCAACAGATTGTATTTAGGACTATGTTTATATACAAACACATATGTATGTGTACAATAACAATTAGTGAAAAAAAAAGAGGCCCTGAATTTGAAGTATATGGGGGAGGGGGTTGGAGGAAGAAAAGGCAGACATTTTTTTAATTAAATAATAATCTCAAAAATAAACAAAATATAAAAATAAATCAATTTTTTAAAAGCACCTTGAGATTTCATCTTACCCTAGTCAGAATGGCCAAGAGCAGTAAAACAAACAAGGAACAGCCCGTGCTGGCAAGGGGGAGGGAGGAGAACACTTACTCATTGCTGGTGGAGTGCAAACTGGTACAGCCACTGTGGAAATCAGCGTGACAATTCTTCAGGAAGCTGGGAATCGATTGACCTCAAGATCCAGCTATACCACTCTAGGATACACACCCAAAGGACTCTATGTCTTACCACAGAGACCCTTGCTCATCTATATTCTTCACTGCTCTATTCATAACAGCCAGAAATTGGAAGACAACCTAGATGTTCATCAGCTGATGAATGGGTAGTGAAAACGTGGTATATTCGCACAAGGGAATATTATTCAGTTGTTAAGAAGATGATACTTGCCTGTAAATGGATGGAGCAAAAAAAAAAAAAAAAAAAAATCACCCTGACTGAGGTAATCCAGGCCCAACAAAACAAATGTATGTTTTCTCTTATATTCACTTTTATGCCTTCAGTGTGTGTGCTACCCGTCTGAATAAGCACAGAGGTTAGGTACCTGGAAAGGAACTGCGGGTGGGATAGAAAATAGTATTTTGGAGAGACAAAGGAAAAACTAGACTAGGAAGATTATACAGGGAGGCGGATGGAAGAGAATGGCAATAAGGGAAGGAACAGCTAACACTATGGCCGTTTGAAAAGCCATATGGAAACCTACGACGGCAGAAGCTTCCTACGATATATAAATGTCTGAAAGGAACGTAAATGGAGTCAATGGGGGAGACAATATCCCAACTAGACAGCTTATGCCACCAAGTACAACACCCAGTGCCGGGAATGTATGCACATGGGTGCGTTCGGTGCATGTATAACCTGGAGTTCGCACACCCAGCGGCCCTAGTCTAGTTCACCTACTTCCTTGGTGAGGTCGTAGTTCTGGCCCAGGATGCTCTGGATGAGCTCCTTGATGGTCTGGTCTGAGGCCCTCTGGGCCTCGGACTGCAGGGAGGCTACGATCTCCTCTATGTTCGTGGGGAAGGCGCGTGTCATCTGCAGGGACGCCTGGCCCGACGACGACATTTCACGCCCGGTTCTCGACAGGGGCCTGAACCACCGCGCCGAGCCCATGCCCTCGCGCAGGAAGTGGGTGCGGATCCGCAGCCTGCGCAGCAGCCGCCCGCTCTCGTCCGTCTCGCTGCTCAGGCTGGACAAGGAGCTGGCCTGTCGGTAGCGGGGGCGGGCCACCTCGATCCCCGGGGCCTGGTGCGCGGGGCTCATGGGGAAGACGCGCCTGGACACCTGCTCCCCCTGGATCTTGACGTGCCGCCTCTTGTGGCGCGAGCGCGGCCGCAGCAGGCGCGCCGGCTTGGCGGTGCCAGCCTGGCGGGCGATGGCCGGCGGCGCTCTAGGGGACTGGTGCCGCAGGAACGCCGAGCTCCGCAGGTAGAAGTCCCGGGGACGGAAGGGCTCGGGCTTCCCGGGGCCGCGCCGCCGCGTGCTCTGCGGCGCCCCCTGCAGGTCGGCCTTGGCGGGGCGCTCTGGGCTCTGCACCTTAGACGGCGGCGGCGGCGGCGGCGACAAGGGCTTGGCCCCCAAGGACGCTGGCCTCTGGGCCCCGGAGCTGCCGGCGCTGCACGGGCGCGCCTCCCCGTCCTGGTCCTCGAAGTCATCCTCAGGACATGCCCTCCAAGGCAGCCTGGCCGCCAGCTTCTGCTTGAACTGGTAACATTCCTTTTTGGTCTCCTGGCGAACCTTCTCCAGCTCTTTAAACATGTACGATTCTTCTCTGGCTGTCAGTCCGAAGTGCTTCGGGATGGTGGACATCTTGACGAACTTGACCTGTAAAATATCCCCCCACCCAAATATATATATATATATTAATATGTGTTTAATAAAACTTAGGTTCATAAAAGTCCAGTTCCGCAAAATGTCTCGGGATAGAATGTACTGTGTTCAACCCATTTTACGTCCGTATCTATGGCCTTTCACAGGAACCACGAAATTACTCTAAACCAGTTGTTCTCAACCTGTGGGGCCAGTCCCCTTTGCGAAACAAAGACCCTTTCACGGGGGTCACCTAAGATCACCAGAAAACACAAATATTTACATCACTATTCATAACCGTAGCAAAATTACTATGAAGTAGCAACGAAAATAAATTCATGGTTGGGGTCTCCACAACATGAGGAATTGTATTAATAGATCACAGCATTAGGAAGGCTAGGGACCACTCCTCTAAACGAGCAATTTTTTTTTTTCAGTGATAATTCCCAAGCCCCTTAGGACCTGTTTTAACACTTGGTTTGTTTTTGAAAGGCAGGGTTTCTCTGTGTTACAGCTCTGGTTGTCCTGGAACTCTGTTTGTAGACCAGACTGGCCTTGAACTCACAGAGATCCACCTGCCTCTGCCTCCCGAGTGCTGGGACTAAAGGCGTGTGCCACCACCGACCAGCTTAACATTTCTTCAGATTCTAATATTGTGTCCCACTTCCAACCAAGCAAGACTTCGTAAAGGTAGGCACAGAACACCTAAGGTAGCAGCAGGTCGCAGGGAATAGGGGTCTCCAACTGTATGCCCAGCCCCCACCCCGTGGCTTGGACTGGGCCAGCAAACATGTTTTTCAGTTATTTGGAAGTTTCGCAAAAAAAAACATAAAATTATATCGGACAAGTTTAAATTGGAACATATTCACATAAAAATTTCTCTTGGGAGAAAATTTGAGGTCTGTGGTAACAGAAGGGCCAAATCTCTGCTCCGGACTTCATAGCTGCTGCCTCTTCCTTCTCCAGATGGTCCCAGGTGTCTCTCTTGTCCAGCCACTTTGCTTGGTGTCTCACTTCTGCTGTGGCACAGGGAAGGAAGGATGGAGGTCAGCCTCAAGGCGGAGGCTGCGGCTAACTCACAAAGCCTTGAATGCTAGATGTTTGTATTTAGCTGTGAATTTAGCTGGAAACCCACTTGAGATTTTTAGCAGAAAAGTGGTTTGATGAAATTAGCACTTGGAGATGGTAATATTATACAGAGAGAAAAGGGGGACCAAGAAGCTTGGTAACTTTAGCCTGAGGGAGGCCTGGAATTGATAACGGAGCAGAAAGTAAACAGACTTAACATGGTAAAAAATGATAGCACCTGGTCAACGATTAAGAAAAAAATGCGATCTGGGTGTGGTGGTGCAAGCTGAAATCCCAGCACTCAGGGGAGGTAGAAGTAGAGACAAGTTTGAGACCAAGGCTGTGCTACATACTGAGTTTGGGGGCAGTCAGGGCTACACAGCAATATCCTGCCTAGAAAATTATATATATATATATATATATATATATATATATATATATATATATATATATATATAAAATAAATTTTAAATATCAAAAATAAATGGGAGCAATTGAAAGTTCATCAAAAAAAGATACATCGACAGTTTAAAGAGATAAGCTCAGTGGGAAGTTACTTGCTAAACATTAACAAGACCCTGGGTTTCATCCTAGCTGAAAAAAATTAATGAGGACCTTGTATCACTTCATTGAAGTCTAGGCCAAAAACAAATGCATATTAAAATTTGTTATTCACCCAAATGTACATTTGAGAATGGTTAAAAAGGTAAACTTCATGTTGCGTATTTACTATAATTTTTAAATGCCAATTTCCATTTTTCAGCCAGGTCTTGTAGGATACCTATGGTCTCAAGTGAATTTTGAGATCTTTTTTGTTGTTGTTGTTTTGCTTTTTTGTTTTTCGAGACAGGGTTTCTCTGTGTAGTTTTGAGCCTTTCCTGGAACTCGTTTTGTAAACCAAGCTGGCCTTGAACTCACAGAGATCCGCCTGCCTCTGCCTCCCTAGTGCTGGGATTAAAGGCTTGTGCCACCACCGCCTGGCTGAATTTTGAGATCTTGAAAGTGCTGAGATCATTATTGAAAGCCAGGAGGAACTGCAGAAAAAAAAAGACCAATGAGAGCTTACTGTGAATGGCGAAAGGCGTGAGAACAAGGGACCAAGAATATGAGGGAGCGGGGCTCCCTAGAGGCCAAGAAGAGTGGCTGGAGCACAGAACTACAACAATGAAAATAAAAACAGAAAATCCTGGATCAGAGCAGTGACTTTAAAGTCAGCAGGAGGGCAAGCCCAGCCCAGCACTCAGGAGACAAGAGACAGGGCAACCAGGAGATGGAGAACTACTGGGCGGATCTAGAGACCTTGTAACAAACAAGCCAGTTTCCAAAGAAACACCCACAGTTTTTAAAAGAAAATCCAAAGCCAAGGTTCTTTGAGGAGCATTTAAATAGTGAAGCAGAGATCATAGACACTAAAGAACCATTTAAAATGTAAATGTTCCCCCAAGGAACTTGAATCTAAAATTACACAGACAATGTGGAAACCAATGGCATCCTTTATACCAAATGCTCCAATTTAAAAAATAATGGCAAGTCTTCCTAATTGCCAAAAGAGTAAGTATCAAGCTAAATGCATGGTAAAAATTTACTAACACTATTTGAATAAATTTTATTTAATTTTATTTAATTGAAGGTCATAAAAGATTGAATACACAACTAATGTTCATTGATGATAAGCCAAATATTGTAATTATACCTGGTAGTCTCAAGATACCATATTGATTTCATTTTACACATAAATTTAACAATGATATTTAAAACTTTTTATTTACTTGGAATAATAAATAAGATTACCAAACACTGTGAAAAGAGAAATGGAGGATATGTTCACCTGCTCCTCTGTGAAGGAGTGCCTGGATAATTAACACTTGCAAGATAAAGAAACTGAAACACCACAGATAGAATCAGTAGGTAGACTGAGAAAGAATTTTGAGATATATGAAGTATATTATAAAGGCAGAAATTGATAGGTTATAGAAGGAAAAACTCTTCAATAAATCATGCTGGGGCCATTGGTTGACTACTTAGGACAGAATTATGCCTTGATTTGTGCCAAAAATAAGTCAAGAACTATTTAAAATATGAACTAATTAAATATCCAAAGCATTGATTTGCTTACCACTTATCCATATTCCTTGATTAGACTCATATCAATATACAAAACAGCTGTCTTCCTAGTAGAAGTCATTTAGTGCCCAGCTGGGGTAACATGAAAAAACTGCCCATGTATCCATTTCTGAAACATACCCTGCTGACCCTAAACTGAAGACCTTTGTAACATGACAGAGTTCTCCTCTGAGAGCTAAGCTTCCTTTCTGTACCCAGCTCCACCAACTAGTCCTGGGGCAGTTTGATTCCAGATGTATATATCAGAGGTTCATATTACAAAGCAAAAACTAATAGGTGTGGTGGCACATGCTTTTAATCCCAGTTCCTGGGAGGCAGATGCTGGCAGGTCTCTGCTGAATTTCAGGCCAGCCTGCTCTACAAAACGAGACCCTGTCCCAAAAAACAAAAAGAGGAAGATAGGGAAGGAATAAAACAATCGTGTGTTGTCCAACCCATAAAATATGAACCTTAGAGGTGAGTTCTAGAGTCTTTGAGGAAGTTTCCACGTTTAAAAACTCCTCGGAGTACTTCTGTCCTTGTTGTTTGCACAAGTGACATTGTGTTCACAGGGTCACCACCTTCAAGTGACTGTAAGTGCACCCACTGGAAGTACTGTGATACCTGCTGTGAGCCGGCTACAACTCCCCTCCCTCTTCTTGGTTCCTGTTCCGAGTGCCCTTCCCAACTTGTGGGCCCTCGGTTTGTTCCTGAAGTTTAAACAAATGCGCATTGTTTAACATTTCTATGTACATCCCCTTGGAATCTGAATAGAAAAGTCGTTTTTTATGCCCCAAAAATAAACTAACAGGAAACAGAGCTTAAAATTCAATAGACAGGAGCTTCTATCTGGCCTTCAAGCTGGGTGGTATCTGAAGGCTTATGGGTCAGCTCTTGGGAGTTGGCTGCCTGTGTCTCTCCACCCACCCACCCCTCAACACCACTAAATAAGGGAATTACTTTTAAAAATTCTTTCTCTTTCTTGAGGGCAATTTACAAAGAGAAGCTGGTTCTAGTTTCGAGATGCTCAAAGAAAAAATAATACATTTGTCCCCAAATAAGAAAGGGTCAGATTGTCTGCTCATAATCCAAGCTAACTAAGTCTACTCCATGGTTTGAGATGGGACAGACTGTGCTTTAAAAAAAAAATCTTTGGAAGTCAAGCAAGAATTTCACTCTCCTGTTCTTTCCAAATTTGTAAGTGCATCCCTTTTCCTGTCTCTTGTACTGGAAGTTAGAGGCAACAGGCAGTAGAGGGGCCAAGGCCCAGCTTTTGCTCCTTCACCACCAGGCCAAGCAAGGCATCAGGAAGAAACTCTGGCCAGAAATAGCTAAACTCCAGCTTCTAGAGGCTGCCAAAGTGCTTCCGGCATGAACTCTACACTTTGATGCGTACAAGCTCTTCTCCCATCCTTAAGGTTGGTGTTACTTCTATTGGAACAGGAAAGCCAAATTCTGCTCCAGATCCATGTTCTCTTTCCTTTGAGCAAAGCTCTTGCAACATAGCCCCAGCAGCTGGAATTTGCTGTGTGTACAGGCTGGCCTTGAACTTCCCATCCTCCTCCTCCGCCTGCTTCCCAAGCACTGGAATTACAGGTATGTGTCACCACACTCAGGGTTCTGCTTCCCAGTCTATGTGAAGTAAAACTATACTGAACACTCCCCAGGTGAACTGGGCCCAAGCTTCATGAAGCCCCGAAGTCCAAGGGAAGGAAATCTTCATGCTAAGCCTCACTCTTCACAGTGGGGCTGAAGCCCAGGTCAGGAGCAAAATGGTTTACCTGGCTTGTCCTCTCTAACATACAGTCAAGGTGCCTCAGTGGAAGAAGTGATTCATTAGGAAC